TGACCACACCCACCCGTGATGTCACAGTGACCTGACCACACCCTGCTGCTGCTGAAGGACCTGTTTAATAATAACTTCAATCGGTACGGTGCCACAGCTCTCTGCAGGAAAAGTCTTTTGCGTGTGCGGTTCAAAAAGAGACGAACAGGGAGTGTTCGGAGAGTCTGAGGAGTCGTTCAGGGACGGTCACCAAGGTTGGGATGGTTTCTGCTCTCTCTAATTCTCCGTCCTCCCCCTCTGTTTGAACTCGCCTGTATTTAGCGAGGCCACCGCTCGCTGCCTTCCTGATTCCTCCCAGAGGGACGACACAGCGGGAGGCTGGCAGAGAGGCGGGCGACACAGTGATGTCTCACTCTGACCGTTTTCTCTGTGCACCACAAACGTCTCTCGCTTTATCTGAATGATGGCTGATTTATGTCAGGTTTAAAACTAATAATGTAAGATCGCTTTTAGTGTAGCTATATTTACACTCACTCATTACATCAACTGAATATTTGGGAACCACTTTCTAATGAGGCACCCTTGACAAAGGTTGCTTAACTAACAGTTTATAAATCATTCACTAATTTGTTATAGATCAGTTATAGGGAAACTAATTGGAACAACTTTTGGGTTGCCAGGTTGTGAAACATTGAATTATTTGACCAATTCCCAAGAAAGTGAGAACGAACGTTTTCTTAATGAACAGAAACAAACAGAAAAGATAAACACAGAAGGTTTTTCACAACCTGGCAACCCAAAACTTATGATTGGCTTCTAACTGATCCAAATGAAATTACAGACGATACACAAAACAACTACTTACAACTTATTAAACGATCAAGGGCGCCTCGTTAGAGCAAATATTTAATGAATCGATGCTACTTTTTCCAAATCAGTGAGGTAGATCTCTGTTTGTTGATCTGAACGGCTCAATCCACCAAAACAGCTCTGAGTTTTAATGAGGCTTACAAGCATAAACACCAGGAAACACGGGCTCGTTAGCTCATAAAAAGATAGCCGCTGCTAATCGTGCATTTATTTCTCAAACGACACCACTGGGGCGGCTGTGGCTCAGGAGGAAGAGCGGGTTGCCTGTTAATCGGAAGGCCGGCGGTTCAATCCCTAGGCAAGATACTGGACCCTGAATTCCCCCTGGTGGCTGTTCCACCAGTGTGTGAAATTGTGTGATTGGTTAATAGGATGTAGTGTAAAAGCAAAGTCCTGTGACTTCATGAGAAATAACAGTTTTTAGTTTTAGGTAACAAACGGAGTCTGAGTTTCATTTTAGCATCCAACGCTCTATTTTTCTTACTGTCAACAAATTTCACGTGCAGACCCAAACATGTCAGCACCGTCTGTCAGCACCGTCTGACTTCCTGTCTGAGGTTCTCAGCTCTCAGCCCATTGGTTCCTCCTGAAGATGTAAATCTTTAAAAAACAAACTCACAAATATATAGTTTCGTGTTTAGACAGGCTCAGAGTCAAAATAAACTCCAGCGGGTGTGTTCATGGTGGTGAAGGAACATGTCAGCCTGTGAGGCTCTCCGACGGGTTTGAACGGTTCCTGGACAACAGAGGAGCTCTATGCTCAGAGGAAGAGGAGACGTCACACACAAGACCTGTTAGGAGAAACAGTCGCTGCAGGTTTGAGTCTGAACATGAAGAGAAACATAGAAGAGCACCTTATCCTTAATTGTGAGATCAGATTTTTTCTCAGTCGGTTTGTGTGTTTGGTCTGCACACAATCTGTAGCTGTTTACTATCGAGTGATTCATCTCCCCAGACATAGAGCATCTTTGGCGGCCGGTCACACATCAAAGCAGAGCCAAACGATGTGGTGGGACGAGGACTAAAACCAGCCGGGATTCAAACCAGCAGCGTTCCCACTACACGGACACGGACGTTAGCACGCTATAAACACGCTAAAGCCACGTCCCGAGGAAGTGATGGAAAGGGAGGGAAAGTCAGAGCAGACGAGCGAGTGAAGAGGAGGGAGAAAGTTAAACTTGGAAAAAGATGGAGAGAAAACGAACAGACAAGAAGAAAATGTGAGTTAATGCCAAAAGAAAGATGAGAGAAGAAGAGAAGAGTGTGAGGAAGAGAAAAGCAAACGGGCAGTGGAAACATGCTAATTACAGTTTATTTCCATGACAGACAGACGGTTCTGTCTGTCTTTGTCTTCCTGTGAGCTTCACCGTTTCCTCTCATTTGTCGGAGCTCAGTGAAGCGGGCCGAGCTCGTCGCAGGTTGCTGGTTTGAATCCCCAGACGGGCCCGGCCACCAGAATAGATCCAACAATGAGCGGTTTATTCTGGCTGCCAGAGGAGGCAAGGGTAGCCCGGCGGGTTAGAGAGCGGCAGATCGGAGGAGGGGAATGAAAATGCAGTGTGGAATGTCGCTAATGATGTGTTCAATTAAGTTCAATTAGCCTAATTGTCCTCTGTGTGCGGGAGAGACGGAGAGAAGAGGGGAAGATAAACAGGGACGGAGGAGAGGAATTTAAACAGGCTGATGATAGAATGATATTGTGTCAGAGCTGCTAAACGGAGGTTGACACTTCGTCTCCGCCAAGAATCCAGTCATCCCTCTGTTCCCCTACTTGCCATCTCCGCCGCCCAAAATAATTACAGAGGTCCCTGAACGCATCAGTTATTCCTAACAAAGCACAGGGCCGGCGGGGTGCAAAGTATTCTCACGGCGGGCTGTTTTGTATCTTAGAAGAACAACACGGTTTCATCAGTTCCTATGAAAGTGGCAGGGCCTCTTTTACTTTAAAGTGGCAGCGACACCTCGGCAGCCGAGCAGTTTGGGTTTTACAGGACATTAAAGGGTTCAGTGAGCTTAAGATGAACTTGTTTGTATGACACGCCGAGACTACAAAGCAAAAGTTTTAGAACAGCAAGTACTCAGCAAAACATTTGTTCAAGTCAAAACGCCCTCTAGCGGCTGTAGGGAGCAAAGGAGGAAGTCAGGTGACGTTAATAGGGCGCCTCAAAGATCACGGGTCAGGGATGGGTCATTTCCATCAGTCACTGCTGATTTATTTTAACCCAAGTAGTTATTTAAACCCTTCTCTAACCCTAACCAAGTGGTTTCAGTGCTTAAACCTCCAGCCTAGAGGTGTCGGGTCAGACGATGCAACAGAACTTCAGAAATACTTTATGGATCCTTCTGTAAAAAAAAAAGTTTAAATTACGTATCGACCAAAAATCACAGACGTGAGATATAAAAAAGAAAGTTAAAAAGCAACTGCAACAGGCTGCATGCGCGTTGGCACATGCGCACTAGTGATTTGTCTTGTCTGGTCACCTGGCTGGTTTCATGATCTGTTAGATCACTCTAGATCACCGATGTGGATAAACTTCAAATGCAATTTATACTACAATGTTTTATGCCCACTAAGCCAACGCTTCCTGGCACTGAAACTGGTCTCAGAGTTAATCTGAAAGAGCCTCGAGCAGCGTTTGCAGGCTGCATACAGCCTCCAACAAGCATGTGTGCAGCCTGAGACACGCCCACTGTTGTGCTCCACATTTATTTTAAGCGTGGTGACGAAGGCAAAAAGAACAGGAATGTTTCTGAGCCCAGATTTTACATAATTCGAGACTTCGGGAACTCTAATTGGCTGGCAGCAGATTATATCCACCTGGAGGAACTCTTTAAACGACATTACATTTAGAGAAAGCTGCTCCTCTCGGCCGCTCTGTAAAGATCCAGTTCATAAAAATCTTTTCCATCTGCTGCTCCAGACTCTCGCCTACAGAAACTCAAACTGCACCAACAGAAAATCCAGAGGAGGAAGGAGAGGACGTCACAGTCCCGCCCACACTGTCTGACGGACAGGTGAGCTCTCACATAGAGCAATCAATTCATTTCAGATCCATTAGCGCTCCGCAGAGGCAGCATTTTGAAATGATTCATGCCTCTAATTGACAGAAGGTCACAAGAGTTTAACTAAAATGCTGTCATTTAAAAATCTTCACCTTTTCCACTGGACTAACTCATGCAGACGTAATATACCCTTTAGATTACTGCTAGATTCCAAAGCACACCATATTAATACAAGGAATTAGTTTTTCTGCAAATCAAACACAGAAAAAAGTGTGAATTTCTTGTATTTGAAGTTTTTCTACTCAGCTGACGACTCTAAGATCTCAAATATCATAACATGCGTAAGGTTGATTAAAAAAAATAAAGTTGACTGACTGTGATGGATTATGTCTCTGCAGCACGTCTCGACCCTCTGCGAGCTGCTTATCATAGAAGAGACTTGAAAGTCTAAAAACTGATCAGCAGGAACGGAGATTCCAGCCAAACTGGAGTTGATGAATAAAACACAGCAGGCAAGAAATACCAAGAACTGGAGATACAAGGTTTTCACATGACAACTGCATGATTTTACAGCCGCGTCGGAACACAGGAAACCTCACAAGTGCGAGAGTGGCGTGACCCGTCAGTGACCTGGATTTAAAAGGTGTTTAAAACACAGAGCCAGTCCAGCTGGAGGTCTGCAGGGGGTCAAAGGTGAGCAGACAGAGAAAGACCACCTGACGTCAGCCTGCGCAGGTCGAGTCCAGGTCCAGGACGGACCGGACGGCTTCCCAGAGTCCAACAGGTCTGACTGTGTGAGACGGGTTTTCTCACAGAAGTACTTCTTCATTTCCCCCTCCCTTCCTCCCTCTCTCTCGGACTCGCTCTTTGTCGCTACCGTCTGTCAGAAAAGTGTTCCAGCACTCTGAACTGCTTTTAAACACACACACAAAACACACACACACAAACGCACGAGTCCCCTCTGACTTTAAGTAGATAATGGGCTATTATTTGAAAACAGCAGGAGGCGATTACAGAGGCTGGTGTGTGTGTGGATATCTGACGGGTTCGGCTGAGTGAGTACGCAGGTGGAATTAAGCAGGTGGACACACACACATAAAGGTTTTCTCTCCACACGCTGCTGCTGCAGAAGGACAAAACGATGCTCTCACACACACAAACACACACACTAAGCTGTGCGCACTCACCAGCCTCGGCGAAGGTGATGATCTCCGTCGTCTCCTGCGCGTCGCCGCTGTCTGCCACACGAGCCGCCACTGCTCCTCCCCCTCCTTCTCCCCGGCCTCCCCGCCCTCGCGTCTCCTCCTCCCCCTCGATCTGCACGCTGCCGTCCTCTGCCACTCGCCCCACGTGGAGCTTGCGCAGGGCGTTGAGGAGCGCGGCGCGTGGCACGGGCCGGGTGATGTTGGGCCGGGCCTGGAGGTGCAGCATGTTGAGGATGTGCCTCTTCACCGCCTCCACCACGTCCTGCTGAGCCTCCTCCTCCCGGTCGTGTCCCGCCACGTCGTCCGCGTCCCCTTCGTTTCTCCTCATCCTGGCCAGGGCGCAGGAGGGGCAGTGGGAGCTGGAGGCGACGTCCGGCAGCGGCTGGTGGTGAGGGTGGACGGTCAGTGACAGAGGTCTGGACGCCGGGTCTGAGGAGGAGCCGCAGCTCTGGACCAGGAGCAGGACGGTCCAGCTCAGCAGAGGTAAGACAGACATGGTGGCAGGAGTTGCCTGATTGGCTGCTGGGTCAGATTTAGTGATGCTGCCGGATGCAGAATCAAAGACGGAGACAGTAAAGATGAAGAAAAGTCAACTTTTGGTTTGTGTTTGAACAAAAATTCAGTCCTGGTTGAAGAAAGAAAAGTGTTTCTTCTGTTTGAAATTCACCTTCCTCTGCCTTCTCTCTTTCTTATTGTCTTTGTCTTTCTCCTCTCTCTCTCTCTCTCTCTCTCTGTGTGTCTCGTTCTCTCCTCAGAAGTTTGGAAGCTGCAAAGTTCAGCTCAGCTCACAGTCCACCTGCGAAAAAACGGAGGGGAAAAAAAAAGCTGTAAAGAAACGAGAGGGAGACGAGGACAAAAAAAGAGAGAAAAAAGAAAAAACACAACGCCGAGAGAGAAAATGAGTAATCCTTATCTTTTTTGTCAGGGACAGATGGCTGGAAAATGTGGAGGCGTCACAAGAAAGAAAGAAAGAAGAAAACAAAACAAGAAGAAGAAGAAAAAACTCTCGGATGTGATGAATGGATGATGGAAAAGCGGAGAAGGAAAACTCTGGCGTGCAGGAGGATCCTTGTTCCCGGGGTGAAGCCGCTGCAGAGTGTGTGTTCAGAGTGTGTGTGTGTGTTAAAGAGGCAGTTTGACTAAGTTATCCCAGACGAAGGAGTTCCTCCCTCTCTCTTTTTTTTTACCTCTTTTCCTCTCTCTCTCTCTCTCTCTGTGTTGAATGCCTTCCCTCGCTCACCAGTTGAATGGTTTTACCGGAGTGGGCTGGACTCTCTCTCTCTCCTCTCTCTCGCACTGGCAGCCTCCTACCATAATTATACCTCCCTCCCTCCTCCCTCATCCCTCTCTCTCCTCCCATCTCGCTTTGTGACTCATAACTTTTGCCTCCTTCTCTTTCTTTATTTATTTCTTCCCTCCCTCTGTTTGGCTGTTAATGGAGCAAAGCTGGGATTCCTTTAGCCCTCCCTCCCCCCTCGGCGGTGAATGAGTTACGTGTTGAAGGGAAAATTCTTGGATGACTTGGATTTAGCCTGTGACTCTCCTGTCCATCTGTCTGACTACCTATCAGTCAGTCAGTCTGTCTGACAGTCTGGATTTGTGTAGTCTGGTTGCCGTTCAGCTCCTGTCAACATGACATCATGGTTCATGACTGTGCGGTCTCGCCATGTTGCATTGTGAGTAGGGGATTCCTGCACAGGTCGCCGATTCAGATAACAGCTATCTCTTGTTTTCGTCTTTGTTTTCTTTGTTTTGCTGACCTTGTTCAGCTCTTTATCTTTGTGATAAACATTTTTGAGCTTTGGGCGTTCATTCTCTCTCAATAGAGAACCCACATGAAACCAGAACGTCCAGGTTCTCTTCCAGAAGTAAGATGACCTTTGTAACAAACGATAATTACAAAAAACAGTATGTTGTTCTGACTTGGTTCATACACACAATCTACTATTATTGTAAAATTAACGGCCTTTAACAAACACCATGTCCCTCAAGCCCTGGACCTAAACACTCAATAAAAGGACAGACACGGCTGAATGTGGAAATGTTTTTCAGCAGCAGAGCTTTCAGCTGAAAAAGAAAGCGTCGGTGAGTGTTGTGAATATGAACGAAACCAAGTTGCATTGTCTCACTGGGAAATTCAGCTGGGAGTGTCTGCGCTCACAAAGTATTTGTTGTTTACGGTTTTGATTTCTAATAGCAGGTGGAAGTCTTGACTGTCCTGCAGTCCCAGGTGCTGACAGGACACACCAGGACAAGAACCTCCCGAATCAATTTGAGAAGCATAACTTTGTTTAGGTGATCTTCTCTGTCATCATCAGAGCCCTGTTATCCTCCTGAAATTGCTCATCCACTCCCTCAAGCTTCTTCAGAAATAATTCATCATGCCACTTAATTTCCCATCAGCCCACTCATTCCAAACATGGTCTGTTTCCCAACAAGGCTCTAAGGGGTTTTATGTGGATCCCTGAGGAGCTTCTGATGAATTCTCCAATGAATCCAAGTTCAAGAGGGAGTTCTGATGGGTTCTCGCAGTCCTGAAAATCTAAAGGGAAATTTTAGAACAGACGGAATTTAAAAGAGGTTCTAAAGGTGGTCAAATGAACAAGAACTGATGAAGGGATTAAATGGGATTTAAGGGATCTGGAAAAGATGAGTTTAAGTTTCTCAGGAATTCCAAATGGTCTAAAGGTTCTAATAGGATCTAAAAGGGCTCAAAGGAGACTTTTAAGGGGTTCTAGGGGTCTTTTATGTTTTGGGGGGTCTAGGGGTCTTCTAAATGGGAACATGAGTGGTTCTGCATAGGGTGTCAAGACAGTCTAATGGGTTTTTAATGTTGTTTTAAAGGGGCTGTTGAAGGAATGTTGCAGGTTTTAAGAAGGTTCTAATGTTTTGATCAGGAAACAAAAGTGATTTCTGATCGGATGTTAAGAGGATCGAACAGGCCTAAGGGCGTTCTGAGGGATTCCGTATGGTTTGGGGTGGTTCTGTTATTTCTTAAATTGGGACCTAAATGGTTCTACATGAGAATATATTTGGTTCTAAGAGGGTTCTAAAGGTTTTATAATGTTTTGAGGGGATTCTGTGGGTTTCAAAGGGGACGTTTTTCAAAGGAAAATCTGATACTTTAACATTGTTGTTAAATTCTGGACTAGTTGTTGGTACTTCAAGAAGCCATCCTCCCTCTCTCTCTCTCTCACACTCTCTCATTACTTCATACCGCTGTTCAACCCCGCAACATGTGGTCCGTTAACGTAGAGAACCCAGTCAGATCTGACTGTAGAGGAAGCGGCTAAGTTACACTCACAAAGCTTCATGCTTTAATGTCTGGGATTCTCCCTCTGCTGTTATGACATCATCACTGCAGGGGAAGTAGCGTGTGTGCTTGTGTGACTCGTCTGATTGTCTACAACTACAGACCTCCATCTCATGCCGGCGTGAGCTCACCGCTCACTGAGTTGCCTTATAAAGGCGGCGCAGTGTGTATTATGAAATTAACTTGTCTGCACCGGTGGCTTCTTTTAATAACTCCCAACATGTGAGTCATGAACCTGCCGTAACGCCGGCAGCAGCACCGATGCACGTTTTTTAAAGTCGCCTCTGGGGCTGAAAAACTGCATCCAAAATACAGTCAGAACGGCTGGAAAAGTACAAGGGAGCACTTGGTTTAAATGAACCTCTTCAACCCTGCCAGGTCCGTCATTATGTCCTTATGTTGTTCAAACCCACAGAACTTTATTTAAAGTTTTAGTGGAGATCCCAAAGTTTCCAAAGATACCAAACATGTCAGGCTGAATTTTGGGGGAATGTGTAGAAAAGGATGCAGCAGACACGTAGAATATACCATCTGATGGGATAATGCAGCCACATGTTTGAGTATTTCACTCAGTGGAAACATCATAAAGCTTTAACAACATGATACACATGTTTTTTGTTTTAACTTCAATTTTAGTTTGAAGTTGAGTTAAACTTGGTGGAAATATAAAACTCTTATAAATACACATAACCATCCAAACGCAACATTTACTTTACGAAGAAGAGGCACAACGTAAGACTCTCAGGGGCAGTTTGGAGTTGGTACTGTCGGAGGACGTGTAAAACATTGTTTTTGTCCCACCTTAAAAAACATTTAAGGGGAAATCCGACTGTGGGAAGTCGAAGCAAAGAGTCAGGGTGTCCAGGGAGGGAAATCAAACACGCCTGAACCTGTTAAAATATGTACAAACTGCCTTCACATGTGTGTTTTGTTTATTTTGTCGAGTGCTTCTTCAAATGCTTCAGCTCCCACCCTGCTTTGCTTGTTTGACGGGTTTATCCTTCAGTGACTCGTTAACTGACTTTGATAATTCATTTGTAATTCTTGATCAGTTCACAGCGCGTGCTTTCAGAGGGACGGTCAGGTGTGATGAACAGGTAAACAGACGCTGTTGACAGCTGCAGTGTTCAGGTCTGTCACTGAGCTGAATGCAGATTGAACTGCTCCATCTAGTGGACGTCAACTGTAATCTGTGTGACCTCAAAGTACCTCCACACACTCTTTCTTTCATTCCCTTCGTCCATCTTTCTCCATGTCTTTAGATTTATTTACTGTTGTTTACTAATTCTTTCTTTCTTTCTGTTTGTTCTCCTTCATTCTGTATCTACCTTTTTTCTCTCTTTGGGTCACTATTAAAGATGAGATAGAGTGAAATATAAAACTTTAGGTCACTATCTTCCTCCCTTCCATCTTTCTATCTTTCTAAATGTGCTTTGTTGGAGACACCCCATTACTTTCTTTCTTTCGTTTGTTGTGGGAGGTGAGTGATGCCTTCCTCCTCCTCTTCCTCTTCTCTCTGCAGCTTTATGAAACAGTGTGGAGGTGCAGACTAATTTACTGCACTGCTGCATCACACACACAATGTCTACCTAAGAGTGTGTGTGTGTGATGGATAGCGTTGCTCTGACCTCTCACAGTGGGAGAAGTGAAACTGCTACAGGGCATCGCTCTTTCTCAGGGGAGGAGGAGATCTTTACTGATCTCTGAGAGACGGTAAAACATCAGGGATGGCTGAAAAGCAGATAAAAGGTGAACAGAGAGAAGGACAGAAGAAGAGTTGCAGCCAATCAGATCGCACTGAAGTGATATAAATCTAATCTGGTGTGTGGAAATCTGGAAACATCTTCATGGATCAGTGTGGATTCAAATGTATTAACAATGCATTCCTGCACACAAACAAACACAGACCTTTTCACGGACATGTCGTGTGTGGCGTGCACATGTAAGGGTGTGTCTGTTATGTGTGTGTGTGTGTAGGCGGGTATCTTAAACCCCATCACAGGAAAACTTCAGCAGCAGTTTCAGTGATGTGGTTGCGATGCTCACTTACCAATCAGACAAGGAGAAGGTGACGATGGGTAGGTTTTAAAGGTCACAGAGCTGCGGAGACGTGGAAACAGGTTTAGTCCAGTTCACACACTGAACTCGACACAGAACTGAACCCTGAACCATGTTCACACCTTTCCTTCCTGACTCAGGAACAATGTGTGTGAAAAGCACTTTAGTTTCCATGGAACAAATGAGAATGTTGAGTCCAAAATTAAGTAATGATACTCGACTCAACCTGACTCAGCTGGACTCAACCTGACTCAGCTGGACTCAACCTGACTCGACTCAAACTGACTCAACTTGCCCTGGCTGGGTTTGACCTGACTCAGCTCAACGCCGCCTGACTCGACTCAACCTGACTTAACTTGGCTGGAGCAGGCTGGACTGAACTTGACTTGGCTGGACTTAAACCGACCTGGCTGGACTCAATCTGACCCGACTCAAACTGACACCACTTGACTTGGCTGGACTCGATCTGACTCGACTCGACACTACCTGACTCGCCCTGCGTGTCTGAACAACAGTAAGCCTTAGAGGAACGAGCTGCTTCCTTTCTGTGACAGAGAAGAGGAAACTATAAAGGAATCGATCAATAATGTGGACAAAAAAAACAAGTAATCACTCTAGGTAGTTAAAGTTAGGAGTGACTCACAGCTACTAGAACATCCACTTTTATTTTAAAAGCAGAAAATGGAAGGAAACATGAATGTTTTTATAAACTGAAAACACAAAGAGGCTCAAGATGGATGAAGATGAGTGAACATAAACACACACACAGGGAGCTCGAGGCTCGGGTTTTAAATGTCCTACATCCTCGTCCTCAGTGCTTCGTGTGTGTTTTACAGTATCCGGACATTTTCCAGACTCGGACCTGTGACACCTCAAAGGCTCTGAGGTGATTCAGGGCAGCTTCCAACACACACAGAGATATAAAACACATGACGGCATGTAGAACAAAAACTGTGTGAATAAAGACCCCCGACACTCTCACTGCTGGAACAACGTCTGACTCAAGTATGTATATACTCGCCTGCACACACTCAGCTCTCTCTCTCTCTCTCTCTTTGTGTTTCTCTGTGTCTCTCGTCCAAAATTCCCCTGTGGTTCCTGGCAGTGTCACTGTGTCAGACTCCAACTATTTGGCAGCAACCCAACATCACGACCCCCTCAATCTGAAAGAAGTCGTAGGTGTTTAAATGATCATACTGGTGATCATGTCTCAGTCTCTGCACGTGGATTTCCGTCCTCCCTGGCAGCCATGAGTTTCACTTCATTTGTATGAAAATCTGCTTACAAAAATGAAACTTTCAGCAGGTACTTGATAAAATTATCTCACCTGAATTTGCGTAGAATAGCTTCTTCGGAGCTTTCGATCTTATGACAGATTCTTCATCAGTGGATGGATGCTGCGGTCATGGAATGATCAATCTAAACACTTTAAGAAATTTGTCCATGTTGGCTAAACCTCCATCATTGACCTTGGAAACAGTAGTTGACAAAACAATCTCACCCCAAGGTCCATTTAGTAGCTGTTCTGGAGCTTTTCAATCTTATCACATGATCTGTCCTGCAGAGAGAAAATCCATCGTATGTTTTATTCCTAGTTATATAATCATTACGTGTTAATACAGTGAAACACTTCCTGTTGGTATATCAAGGACGCTTGA